TATCATTATTCATATTCATGTATGGGTTGCTTGACATACGTTGTGATACCTTATCAATGACATATCTCAACAGGCTAGTACTATATGAAATGTAATTTATTAACTTTTTAATCTTTTCTTTTTTTTTTATGTAGCCCTACACGGGCAAGTGCTGGGAGGGATTTAAGGGAGATGGAAGGGTAATGAAGGAGGACCTCTACAAAATCATCTACCATTTCCACCTTCGCAATCTCTTCACAATATCTCTCACAGATTGTATGGATTCATGAAATATACGAGACCCTACATCCTAAAAAGATTCAATATCCTAAAAGGAGTGATGAGCATGTATCTTATACTCTAATTTAACAGTGAGATCTTTGGCGTGAAGGACCAGAGAATTTTTGTTAGAGAGAATAGATGGAGACGATGGTAAAATAAGTGAGGCAGGAGGCCTCAAGGACCCGATCTAGGAATCTATCTAAAAGCCACACCCGATCATCACGATCAGTAATACGGAGCGCGAGAATTGTGAAGATGGCAACTGGAAAGAGAAGCATTACCGAGGACAGGGCCAAGAACCTTTGCAATCTCTTCACAATATCTCTCCCATATTGTGTGGATTCACGAAATATACGAGACTCTACATCTTAAAAAGACTCGATATCCTAAAAGGAGTGATGAGCATGTATCTCATACTCTAATTTAACAGTGAGATCTTTGGCGTGAAGGACCAGAGAATTTTGTTAGAGAGAATAGATGGAGATGATGGTAGAAGAAGTGAGGCAGGAGGCCTCGAGGACCCGATCTAGGGATATTTCTAAAAGCCACACCTGATCATCACGATCAGTAATACAGAGGCGAAAATTGCGAAGATGGCAACCACATAAAGAAGGATTACCGAGGACAGGGCCAAGGAGAGCTCTGGCTTCAATGTTAGAAGAAGAAGAGGGAGAAGATGAGTCATATGTCCCACAAGAGGATACTTTAGAGTCCTCGAATAATGAAAGAAGAAGAAGACGAAGGTCATCAGAAAATGTATTCTTAGAGATTGCTGAAGTAGAAGTACCCATGAAGTTCAAGATCCCTTCTTTGGGTTATCATAAAGCAAGAACGGGTCTCACCAAATACGTAGCCTCTTTTGAATTAGCAGTATGTTTGTTATAGATAAACGATTGTCGTTTGTTCCTCATGATACTCAGAGTGTCTACCCTACGCTATTTCAAAAACTTGCAGATAGCAGTCACTGCCTTCTTTTGTAAGTTCAAGTGAATGTTTGTGAGTCAATTTTCTAGCGCTCAAAAAGCAGAAAATAGCTTTCAAGTTCTGCTGAAGATTTGATAGATGCCTTATTAAAGCATGAGAAGTTTCATCACTCAATTTTAGCGATAAATTTTAGACATCAGAGATCTTGAGTCTGTCATTGCTCATGCAACACTGGCCTGAGGTCTACTTGAGGGCCTAGTCAGATATGAGTTTGGGTTGCAAAAGTCAAAAAAATTTGCCAATCTTTTAGAACTGGCTAGCGAACATTTTTTGGCTGAAGAATATAACTTTACCAAATCCTTAATCGGAACATATATTCCAAAAAGGATCTTTTTCACGGACATCGAGGATGCATTGACCAATTTGTTCACATATATCATCAGAATGCTTCAAGATGATGTTATTGACAACGACAACAACTAAAGCAACCCGGTTGAAGGTTGGTCGTAAGGAGACCAAAACTGAGATAGAATTTGCCTCAATCCTCTCCAATAGAAGTGACTTCATTGAGAGTGTTGTGATCGAAGTTGGAGAAGCCGTCCAATATATATAATTTTTTCAAGAGACCTCCACCGAGAAAAGTTGGGAGTTTCCAGTGTAATCCTCATAAGTATTGTGCTTATCATTGTGACTATGAGCATTATACCAATATTGCCGACATATTCAAAATCTAGTCTAAGAATTAATCTGAGCGAGAAAAGTGATAAGTTCATAGCACCGAAAGCCAACATTTTAAGATAAGGTAAAGCACCAGTTAAGTTACTTTTAAAGAACCAGTCCCTTCTAGAATCATACATGTCACCAAAGTTGTACCCATCACTTTTATGGGGACAAACCTGAAGCTTTGTGACTTTCAAGTCTAAATGATTGAAGCTAGGAGACATTAATTTTTCCAATCTTCCCAGATCAACTATTTTGACTCATCCACCTATCACCTTCACATTAGTTGACCCGCTAGATGTCATGAATCCTTTTAAAGTCTTCCCATATCAACTATTTTGGTTCATTTTGAGGTCAATTTGCTTCTTCGAAGTTTTCCCAGGCTTTCGCACTTGCTGCTGACTAGCTAGGCACAAAATTACAACAATTGGTCAGGCACCATGACCCTGCATGTGATAAGACATGTATCTGATGATAAGCCACTGCTGTTTATGACACTCGGGCACCAGTCTCAGCATCGCAAAGCATATTTAACCCATTCAATGTGATCGTTGATGTCGTGGAGCATCAAACGATGAGGCGCTCCAGCCACTGGCTTGGAGCTGTGAAACCCCACCAAAAATAATTATGAAGTGTGTTCGAAGGAGCCATTATATGATTTTAGTACTGTGAGACCATGTCTGAAGCTATGACACATGATATTCTATATATAGTGTTAGGAATTAAGGGTTTTCACAAGCAAAATTTTTTGTAGCAAAGCTCTACCATACTTTATCCCTTCCTTAAAAATTTCTCCTCCTATTTCTCCCAATGATGCCTACAAGAAGTGTCAGAGATCTCTATCGTCGTAAGAGGAAGGATTCGATACAACCTAGTTTGTGAGCCAGGAAGCTACTTGTAGGAATGAGGAAATTCTTCATTGTAGGAATGTCATTCTCGAGTGTGGTTTCTTTGAGCTCGGGGGTGGTGTTACCACCACTATTACGAGGAGGGGCTGGATGAATTTTGTGTTGGGTTCTGTCATCATTTTCATCATTCAAGGAGTTCATGGCAAATGCTAGGGAGCCCTTAGACAATAAGGTGTACGTCGAGGAATATTGGGTGTCATGGAAACGATCAACAATGTGTACGACTTAACTAGGTACATAGAAGATCAATTTATACACTTCTGAAACATAACTCTGAATACGATGAGATCTTCTAGTGCCTCGTTGTGGGAACATACAACACTTCACATGTGGAATCTAAGGGACACCCCTTCAGCTTTCCCATAAGCGCACTCGACTGAGAGTCGAGGGCCTCACATTTCTTTGTATCAGTTAGGTTACTACCAAGCCTAAATGTTAGTGTGGAAAATTAGGAGCATGTAACTCTTAACTACGCCATCCAGTGTGACTACAAAATCAATGCAGTCGTATTATTCACTGGTCCAAACTCTTTCGTAGGAGTACTATGGTTGGCATCGGTCAACTTTCCCTGATCTTTGCATTTTGTGTTGGATCCGGGGTAAATCTTGACACCCAAGAGGAAATGGTGGCCCTATAAAACCCATCACAGGGGTTGGCATTTGGGTCTACCGCATGCTTTCTACGGGGAGTGTGGAGGCCACTGGAGCCATTATTCCTTCTTCTCGGGACCACTCCATCAACAAGTAGATCTATGACCTCAAGATTGGCATAGCTTATGTCGACCAAAAGACAGGCCTCCTCATCTTTCAATACACCCACTTGGAACACCATCAAAGTAGTCAGCTTACCTAGTTAACTTAGTCACTGGACTGGTTCATGGGCAGTGCCCGGGATGGCCACGCCCCACCACCCTAATAAACTTAACACTTAATTATCAGAGGTTGGGCCTAGCGAGACAGAAGACAATGATGACAGAGACAATGGTGACCACGAGGAGCGTGAAGTTGATGAGTTCTAGATGTTCCTTCCCCTTCCCGCGAGACAGAGAAAAATGATGTTTCTTTTGATAATTTTATTTTATTGTTATTATTATTTTTGCTTTACTTTCGAGCTTGGACAATGGGACCTTTGGGCATTTTGATAATTGCACTCACATGAAGAGTTTTGATTATTATTATGTCTATGTACCCTCCGTGGGGATTGATTTCATGGTGTCTCCCTCACCATGTGTTTGATTATTCATTTCTATAATTATGACTATGCCTCAATAAGAGGGCTTCGTATTTGGTGATTGTGAACATATCTCCCCCCTATAGAAAATGGGACATAGGATTAGATATATTTCGATATGCTATATGAGGAGTTTACAATTCCCATGTCATTGTGATTATGGATGTTTCCATCCCATGAGTCCAGTTTGAAAGTCCCGACACCAACTGAAGCACCCCAATGCTTAAATGCCCACTTTTTATGGCTAATAAAGACCCAAGGTAGTGGTTAATGACATCTACTGTATCAGCGCCACGACACCGGGTCCACAGCCACAATGCTCTACTATTTTTTGGCCCCCAACAATCCTAATTGGGCACACGTCATTTCTGGCATTGACTGAAAACAAAATAGTACGCACTTGAAAGCTATTAATAAAAAAGAAATGCGGGTAGAATTGTAAGATAAGCCATAAAAAATATTAAGAAATATAACAAATCAAAAAGATAATTCTATAATGATGGATTGTTTGTTTCAAATAGTCTTGAGATGATATGATTCAAGAAAAAAATAGCTAAAAGCATATTTATGAAAACTAGTCCAACATTAAACTGATTAATCAAAACCTAATTCTTACCATCTTAGGCAAGTTAAATCACCATAACAATACCAATTAATATAATTAGATACCACATGATGGAAAGAACTAAGCCATTTCATTATATCATATATGCATTATAATTAGTTTCTAATTTATACAATAATATAAAGAACATCATCCCATATGAAGAAAAACAAATTTAAGAAAAAATCTGATATGAAAAGTATACAATTAACATCAGCACCAACTCACACCCATTTGACATTCTTATGAATTATAAAGCATTATTAGCCTTATTATCAAAGTATGCAGCACATTAATTTCATGAAACTGCATGTAGTAGATTTACCATAAACTTGGAATCTGACAAATTTGAAAATGTATTTTATCACCATGTGAAGCAATTTCTTACTGTTTGCAACTGTAACATTCATATAATAACAGACAATCAAGCTTGGAAGCAGATGAACAAGCATGGCTATGTGAGATAAATTACTTCTTAAGCTAAACTTGAATCATATGATCATTCAAACCAAATTGTACCCAATTTTGTTCACTACCTTGTTCTTGAAATAGGAATTATGTCACACATCTTTATATCAAGTTTAAAACATTATTGAAGAATACATGTA